AGAACGACCCTCTATTCCTGGTCCTCCTAATTCAGGTCGCCTCCCAAAGCGTTGAGGGTCCTTTTTTATGCCTTATGCCTTCGTGTACACCCTGCCGCGTGGGCGTATCCGCACGGTTTTCGGGCTCGGGCCGCCCTTCGAGGATGTCTCGGATGACTGGGGCCTCCAGGGTCCCAAAATCGTGCGATGACAGACCATGTGGCGAGGTCTCTCGGGAGTCCGAGGTCACCGCGCGGTCTGTCCCCCCACACGCTTTGTGGGACCCCCCGTGGTCCTTCCAGAGGTTTCTGGGGCTCCTGGCCGGCCTGTAGCTCCCCAGAGGCGGCCCAACCTTGCCAAGCACGCTCGAGAGCCTCGATCCTCGATCCTCCTCGGTCTTGCTCGGTCGTTTATCCTTCGGAGAGCGTCAGCTATGCACCTGCACCGACCCTGGTCGGGCAGGCCGATCCTGGTACCAGGGCTGGCGTGTGCGCCTCCCGGGCCACAGGGAGGGCGCACGCGCCGATGCTGGGCCCAAGGGCGGGCCTGGCCTGGGATCGGCGAAGATGCGCAGCAGGTGTCCTCCTAATATCCTCATCCTCGATCCCCGATCCCCGTCGATCCTCCCCCCCTGGATTCTCGAGCCTCGTCGATCCCCCTCGATCCTGGATCCTCCCCGATCCTCGACCCTCTCTTCGAGCACCTCACCCTCCTCTCCGAGCGCCTCCCTCGATCCTCCTCGATCCTCCTCGATCCTCCTCGAGCCTCCTGGAGCCTCCTCGACCCTCGACCCTCCTCCTCGAGCCTGCTCGATCCTCGACCCTCCCCTCCCCTGCGAGGCCGCCGCCCGTGCTGCCTGGCGCAGCCGCCGGCGAGCGGCTGCCTCCAGGCCGGCGGGGCGCGCGCCGGCCACGGGACGCCGCCGCGCGCGCGATCGCGCGCGGCGACCTCGAGAGCTTCCAAGAATCCCTCTCTCTCTCTCTTTCCCCCTCTCTCTCTGGGAGGAGCAGGAGGAGGAGGAGGAGGAGGAGGAGGAGGAGGAGGAGGAGGAGGAGGAGGAGGAGGAGGAGGAGGAGGAGGGCGGCGGCGGCGGCGGCCGCGACCCTGCCCTCACTGGCGCGGAGGGCGCGTGCCAGGAGGTCTGGTGCTCCACTGGTCGCCTGCTTGCGGCGATGATGGCGCGGAGCATCAGAGGAGGAACAGGTGCCGATACCTCGGGACCTCGCAGAGGGGTGGGTGCCACAGGGGGGGGTGAGTTCGGTCCGTTGGCGCATCGAACCGCAGCAAAACGATGCAAAACGAGTTCTCCGGCCGCCGGCGGAACCCTTTGGTGGACCCCGAGATACCGAGTTCTCGTCGCCACGGCTGGATTCTCCCCGACATCATGGTCAGAACGCACCCCTGGAGAGGTCCAGCGGGGAGCAACGGTATCGGTACTTCTTTTATTTCCCCGAGACACCTCGCACGCTGGCTCACCCCTCATCCAGCCCTAATGCGGCGGATTCTTTCTTCGGCGTATTCCTTCTCCCTCTCCCTTCCCATTCGGCTCCTTCACATCCTGCCCTCACCTGTCCCCCCCGCTACTCATCTCCCTTCTCTCCCTGCCCGTGTCCGCACTGGATCCAGGCAGTTGATCGCTTTGATGGCGCAATGCTAGGTGCTTCCTTGTCCCCTCCTCTCTTCATCCGTAGCTTCGCCCCCTCCGTCCAGGAACCTCTTCCGCATCCTCACCCCCCTCCCCTCCCTCCTCAACGTTGGGACGGCGCGAACCGTGCGCTAGACCAGCTTGATGCACGCCTGGCAAAGTCCAGTCCCTTATCCCCCACCTCCCTCCTGTCCTCCTGGGTGGTCTTTTGTGCCATGTCGCTGATCATGGACCTCCAGTCTGGCAGGACGTCCTGTCCTGGGCAAGCAGGTGGAGGAGGGAGCTGCAGAACTAGAGCCTGGTGGCGCAGATGACGGCGCAGTGAGCCTTCCAGCCAATCAAGCCACGGATGCGCGGCCTCACAACTCCCCTCCTCGACCTCCGCCTCCGCCTCACGAGCTCATTGACTGGGCCCCAGCGTGGCGGGACTTCGAGCCAGTCGCGCTTCGGGTGCGGGGCCATGCTCTGCTGAGCGCCGCCATGTAAGGGAAGACCGGCATGCGGCTCACTTTTTGTTGCCATTGTGGGGCCTATTTTTGGGGGCAGGTCTCCAGGTAAGCGAGGATGCTCTCGGACTGCTGGGGCTCGAGGGGCGGCCCGAAGCTACGCGAGCAATTGTCTAAGCTTTCGGCGGGCGCCCACCCGCACTGCTCGCGCCTCTAGGGCCTGCCCCGGGACGAGCGTCATGGGTTGTGCACCGTACTCACGAATACCGCCGAGCCGGTGCCAGCACGGGACCGGGCTGGCGGCGGGCACTCTGCGGCGCCAGCGGTGCTTCCGAGAGAGGTCGGGCTCCGCTCGTTCGGCCTAGAGGAATCGGGCCTTGCTGGAGTGCGCATGCGCATGCGCGGCCTGAGGGCCACAGCCAGGGCCCGCGCAGCAAAGGACTCCAGCTACTCATCGTCGAGCGGGGATTGGTGGTGTGTTAAGCGGCGCGCCGCCGCCTTGTCAGGCCGTTCACACCCACCCACCCTGGGTGGTTTTTGTCCGCGGGGCAGGGCGGGATATGATTACTGCCGCAACTGATCTAGAGCTTTACGCTCCATCCTTGGGGCCCCTCCCACATTGGAGGGACATCAGACGGCGTTGTGGAGCTTGACGCTTCCTCCTGCCGAGTCGATCCTGTCCTCCCCTCCCCTCTCCTCCCGTTCCCTCCCCCAACCCCTGCCCCCCCCCTCCTCCCTCCTCCCTCCTCCCTCCTCCTCCCTTGCTGGTCGTCCTTCCCCCTCTTCTCCTCCTCCTCCTCCTCCTCCTCCTCCTCCTCCTCCTCCCTCCTCCTCCTCCTCCTCCTCCTCCTCCTCTTCCTCCTCCTCCTCCTCCTCGTCCTCCTCCTCCTCGTCCTCCTCCAGCTCCTCCTCCTCGTCGTCCTCCTCCAGCTCCAGCTCCAGCTCCAGCTCCTCCTACTCCTCCTCCTCCTCCTCCTTCCTTCCTTCTCCCCGGCCCACCTCCTCCCCTTCGGGCCACCCCGGCCCGCGGGGGCCAGGCGTCCCCGCCTGCCTCCTGGACAGCCCGGGCACCCTCGGCGCTCCGTGCGGGCCGCCCGCCGTGTTTGGGCGGCCCCTGCACGGCCTGGGGTCACGTCTGGCCTGTCCCTCTACAGGGGGAATATTTCTGGCGTATTTTAAAATTTGTCGTCCAACGTTTGTGTTGTAGTATCTTTAGTATTTTTATGATTTTCTACTTCTAATATGGGGGACTTGTTTTGTTTGTGTGTGTGTGTGTGTGTGTTGTTTTTTTGTATATATATATGTAAACAAGTATTTCTGGACTAGATTCGAACATTGTTTGAGTAGTTTTTGTTTTTCATCTGCAATCCGCCTGTATGGGGGACATGCCCGACCTAAGCCTGGGGGCGGGTCGTCTGGACCGGCAGGACCAGGCGGGACGGTGGTGGCGAGGCCGTTGCTGGAATTTCGGCTGGACGTGCAGTATGAGGGGCTCGACCGCCCGAAATCTTCCACAAGACGCCCAACCCTGAGAGCCCAGGACGTCCATGGATTTTTGGTCTGGGAACGTCACGCTGTCCATCGCAAAGCCAGCGAAACCCAAGAAACCCAGGGCACCCTGGAGGCAAGGAGGGTGTTTCTTGGCATGGATCTCCACTGTGAGAGTGTCGTGGCGCCAGAGAGCGGATTTCGTCAGGAAGCAATTCGGATGGGCTTGGATTGTCCTGGGAAGTTTCGTTCCAGATTTCGAGGTGAATTTCGTGTGGTTTCTTTTGGTCAGGAATGAAGACTACACAACATCCACGTGAACTTCACTTTGTTTATCGCTCGCCTTTTAGGGGTTTTGCATTGGCAGAGGTGAAGCGACCTTTCGCCGGAGCGACCTTTGGTGCGGGCACAGATGGACCCCCGGATGGCTGACTGTGAAGCGGTAGCAGCGGCCTGCGCGCCCAGGCTTGGTCACCCCGCGTCCCCCTTTGAGCCGCGCGCCGAAGGTCCCTCTTGCCTAGGGTCACTCTTGCGTATAGCCGGTAACTGCCGAAGGACGGCATGTGAGCGGGCGTGCAGGAGGAGGAGGAGGAGGAGGAGGAGGAGGAGGCGGAGGAGGCGGAGGAGGCGGAGGAGGAGGAGGAGGCGGAGGAGGCGGAGGAGGAGGAGGAGGAGGAGGAGGAGGAGGAAAAACTATAATAATACTGATAATATAAATAAGAATAATAATAAGAATAATAATTCGAATGATATCACTACTACTAATACTATGAAGAAGAATAAGACTAATACTAATAAGAATAATAAGAATAATACGACTAATAATAATAATGAGAAGAAGAATAATAAGAATAATAATAATAAGAAGAAACATAAGAATATTACTAATAAGAATAATAATAACAATAAGAAGATCAATAATACGAATAATAACAAGACGAATAACAATAATAATAAGGATAATCATGATACTACTAAGAAGAATAATGATACTAATAATAAGAAGAAGAGGAATAATAATATGAATAATACTAATAATACTAATAATAATACTACTAATAATAATACTAATAATATTAATAACAATAATAATAATAATACTAATAATAACAATAATAATAATAATAACAACAACAATCATAATAATCATAATACTAATAAGACGAATAATAATACTAAGAAGAAGAAGAATAATAAGAAGAGGAGGAGGAGGAGGAGGAGGAGGAGGAGGAGGAGGAGGAGGAGGAGGAGAGGGGGAGGAAGGAGGAGGAGGAGGAGGAGGAGGAGGAGGAGGAGGAGAGGAGGAGGAGGAGGAGGAGGAGGAGGAGGAGGAGGAGGAGGAGGAGGGGGGGGAGGAGGAGGAGGAGGAGGAGGAGGAGGAGGAGGAGGAGGAGGAGGAGGATGGCGGACGGCATCCTCGACGAGCTCTTCGCGGTGAGGCTGCCGGCGAGCTGGTGTTGGCCGACGGGGCCGCGGAGGCGCCGCCGCGCTGTCTGGAGAGCCGCCGAGGAGACCAGGCAGACCAGCAACAACGAGCTGGCGGACCAGTGCGAGGCAGCGACAGCGGTTCGCTTGGCGTACTCCGTGGGGTGCGACGCTAAGCTTAGGTCGGGCGTGTTCCCCTACAGGGGGATTTTCGAGGAAAAATAGAAAATACCTCAAACATAGTCAAACAATAATTTTTTGAATAGTCTGGGGACTAATTTTTGAATAGTTTTTGAGCTTTTTTGGGTATTTTTTATTTTTCGTAGAAAATCCCTCTGTAGGGGGACAGGCCCGACTGAACGCTAAGCTGACTGCGCAGCCCGACGCACAGTACCGGGGGCCAGGCGAGCGTGTGCATGGACTCCGCGTCGCCCGCCGTCTCGGAGCGGGAGGGCGAAGCGTGCAAGTTCAACGCCGGTTCGGTGGACGCGGTCACCGAGTGCGACGAGGTGGATGTCACGTAGCGCCTTGTGGAGGTGATGTCGCAGGACCGCGATGACGCGAAGGCGCTGGCGGAGGCGCTTGCAGAAGAGCTGATGGAGGCCAAGTTGCGGCTGCGGCTGTCTGCCCGCAGCTCGCCATCCTTAGGGAGATGCTGGTGGCAAGCGGCCTTGCGGGTGGTGAGCGACTGGCACCTCTCCCGCCTATACCTGCGTTGATGGCTGAGACGTGCGTGCAGACGGAAGAAGCGGAGTGGGCGACCATGGTCGTGCATAAGAAGGGCGTGTTCATGGACAAACGCGGCTCGGAGGCCCTCGTCGAGAGCGCGGACGACACCGAGTGGCAGGTTGACAAGGGCCTCGGTGCGCTCACAGATTTGGTGGACAGGCTGGAGGGCCTGCGCAGGATGGGGGACCTGAAGAACCTGTACAAGTGCTAGTGCGTCCCGAAGGGCCTCTTTGTGAAGGACGGCACCAATAAGCAGATGACCGAGTGCATCGGCGTTCTGACATGACAGATTTGGTGAACAAGCTGGAGGACCAGCAGAACTTGTACAAGTGCAAGTGCGGCTTGGAGGGCATCTTCGGACACGCGGACGACGCCGCGTGGCAGATGGCCGAGGGCCTCGGGGTGATCACGGTGAGCATCGGGAAAAGTATCGAGGTTCGCAAGGACAAGAACACGGATGAGAAGGAGGAGGTTCGACGCGAAGGATGTGGCGCCGATCGAAGCGCAGCACGGCCTCGAGGAGGAACAGATGGAGGACGTGGAGGAGAAGATCTTCCCCCGGGAGGGAGCCTGGCGGCCGCTGGCGGCCTCGACAGCGAGCCGCAGGCGGACCGCAGCCCTTCTCCGTGGCCCCGACGGAGAGCAGGCGACGTCCGAGGTTACGAGGCCGTCGGGACGTCCTTCGACGACGTGGAGGCGGAGAAGGAGCGAAAGAAAGCTGGGATCCCCGCTCACATCCGCCAGCGTGAGATAATGGCTGAGTGCGCTGGAGTGCTGAGGCCCAAGTGGCTCGATGGACCCGCGGCGCGGGGTGCGCAGCCTGCTTTCCCTCCCCCTCTGCCTGCATGGTGCGCGCGTTAGTTGGCTGCGTCGTTGCGGCGACGTGTGGGCGGTTTGGACGGGATAGCTGGCGGTAGAGTGGACTTGGGGTGGACGTTGTGAAACCTCTATCGTCGGAGGGGCATGTCGTTCGGGGGGGTTCTGGTGCCCAGCTCGGGGTGGTCTTCCGTCGTAGCATGGCCCTCGGTCAGAATAGTTTTCCCCAGTCGTCAGTCGACGCATGCACCGTCTCGGCGGGGCTGGCCAGGTCGCACTCGGGGCTTCGGCACCCAGTGCAGGGTGATCAGCTTTGTCGTTAGTGCGTGCCTCTGCGGGCCTTCTGGACTTGCAAGAAGTTCCGACGGTTCCCCGCCCCCCCCCCCCCCCTCGCCCCCACCGCCGCCCCGCCCTGCCGCCGCGCGGGCTGAAGAGCCCGCGCTCCCTTGGGCCCCCCGTCCGCGAGGCCCCAGCCCGCTGCTCCTGGCGGCAGCGCTGCGGGCCGCCGAGAAGGCTGCCGCCGAGCTGGGAGGAGGAGGAGGAGGAGGAGGAGGAGGAGGAGGAGGAGGGAGGAGGAGGAGGAGGAGGAGGAGGAGGAGGAGGAGGAGGAGGAGGAGGAGGAGGAAGAGAAGGAGGAGGGAGGGAGGAGGGAGGGAGGGAGGGAGAGGAGGAGGAGGAGGAGGAGGATGAGGAGGAGGAGGAGGAGGAGAGCTGGAGAAGGAGGAGGAGGAGGAGGAGGAGGAGGAGGAGGAGGAGGAGGAGGAGGAGGAGGAGGAGGAGGAGGAGGAGGAGGAGGAGAAGGAGGAGTTGGACTGCACCTGCCTGTCGGAGGGGGGCCAGTCAAGACGGCGGCCAGGAGAGCCAAGGGGTTCCTCGCCGATCGCCCCTCGCGGCACGGACGATGGCCGTGGCCGTGGCCCAGGCCTAGGCCTTGGCACTGGGGCCCCGGCACTGGGGCCCCGGCCGGCCCCGGCCCTGGTCCCAGCCTGGGCCCCGACCGATGCCGGCCCTGACCCCGGTCCCAGCCCTGGCCCCGGCCCCGATTCTCGGCCTGGGCCCCAGCCTGGGCCCCGGCCAGGGCCCCCGGCCTTGGCCCTGGCCACGTCCCCGTCAAAACAAGTTGAATTACCCCCCCCCTTTCCCAAACAGAGCCGCCCTGGCAATCCCACTGGTAGAGCTGAAGCTCTGGCTGTAGCTGTTTCGATCTCACACGCCAGATCGGTGGAGTCTCCTGCTGTGTTGCCAGCACTGCATTCCTTCACAGCGGGGAGAGCCTTTCTGCAGGTGGAGGCGCAGCCGCGGACAGAGGAGTTTGACGAGAATGGCGAGCCAGACGACGTTGAGGAGGCACCGGGACACCCCTCTTGTTCCGCACCCTCCTCTTTGTCCCCTTGCGGCGCATACACAATATATTCAATTGTTTCCACGTAGCCCTCCACATGTTTCGCACGTGGTAAGTTGTGCGCGTCGTAGTGTGTTATGGGGCCACGTCACATATATTACATGGTTTGATTGCGTTGCCGAGTGTGCAGGCTGTGTGAAAATCATTTGCACCAGATCGTTCGAACACTCGGGCCGCGACGTAGGTACGCTTTTTGATGCTGCCGCGGCCACTTTCGGAACGCGCAGCATGGAAAGTAGCGAAGGCGCCTGCGGCGAGCTTATCGCTTCCCTCTGCATTTGAGGAGACGCGGATGCGTCGGGGTCAATGGGGAGATGGAGGAAGACTAACGGAGGAGGGGGAGGAGGAGAAGGAGGAGGAGTAGTTTCCTATTGCAGATTTTGTTCGAGTAGGGTGACAGTCAGCAACCAGCAGCTAGGGCTCGTTTGAGGGCGGAGAGAGACAGAGAGAAAGAGATCTAGAGAAAGAGAAAGAGAGAGAGGGAGAGATAGAGAGAGAGAGAGAGAAACACAACATGTGTGTGGCAGGGAGAGGGTTATACATGTATATATGCACGTATGTATGCCTGTCTCTGTGTGTGTGTGTGTGTGTGTCTGTCTGTCTGTATGCATGCATGCATGTATGCATGTAGTGTTTGTATGTGTATGGAAGTGATGTATGTATTCATGCATGCATGTACGTGTATATATACATATGTCGGATTGAATATGGGTATGTATGCATGTATGCATGTATATGTGACTTCCTGCATGTATGTATGAATGCATGCATGTGTTCATGTTTGTATGCACGTATGTATGTGTATGTGTATATGCATGTTTGTCTGTCTGCATGTATGCACGCACACATGCACTGCTTGTATGTGTATGGAAGGGATGTATGTGTGCATGCATGTATGTATGCATGCATGCATGTTTGTATATATGTAGATGTGCATGTAGGTAGGTATGCATGTATTCATGTACGTGTGTCTGTCTGCCTGCATGTATGTATGAATGCATGTATGTGTTCATGTGTTCATGTGTGCATGCACGTATGTATGAATATATGTATGTATGTATGCATGTATGCATGCACGTGTGCATGTTTGTCTGTCTGTCTGTCTGTCTGTCTGTCTGTCTGTCTTTCTGTCTGTCTGTCTGTCTGTCTGTCTGTCTGTCTGTCTGCATGTATGTATGTATGTATGTATGTATGTATGTATGTACGGATGCACGCGTGCGTGCGTGCATGCATGCATTTGTATGCATGTATGTATGTATGCATGCATGCATGTATGTGCGTATGCATGTACGTATGTATGTATGCATGCATGTATGCAAGCATGGATGTATGTATGTACATACGTACATATGTACATGCGTATGTCTGTCTGTCTGCCTGCCTGTCTGTATGCATGTATGCATGTATGTATGTATGCATGTGTGCGTTTACGTATGTATGTGTGTATGCCTGCCTGTCTGCCTGTTTTCATGTATGTATGCATGCATGTTTGTATGCGTGTATATATTACGTATGTATGTCTGTCTGTATGTATGTATGTATGTATGCATGCATGCATGTATGTATGGATGCCTGTAAGTAAGTAAGTCAGTACATATGTATGCATGCATGTATGTATGTATGCATGCATGCATGTATGTATGCATGCATGCATGCATGCATGCATGTATGTACGTAAATGTGTATAGGTATGTAGGTGCACATGCATGCATACACATATATATATATATATATACACGTATGCATGTACGTATGTATGTATGTATGTATGTATGCATGCATGCATGCATGCATGCATGCATGCATGCATGCATGTATGAAAGAGCGTGTTCTTCCGCTGCTGGCAGAACACCGGGGAGGGGTCACTGGGGGTTTCCAACCCGTCGCCTCCCCCCTCTCGAAAACCGGGGGGCGTCATTACCAGTTCGATCTTCCCCCCCCTCCCGGTCCATCATCAAAAGGGGGGAGGGGTCACTAACGGTTCGAGCCCCCCCCCTATCCTCGCCGCCGGCAAACGACTCTCTATCCTCCCCCACTCCAGATGGGGGACTGGTGGGGACAGTGGTTGGGACGGTGGTGGGGATGGTGCGTGCGAGTGGGGACAGTGGGACAGTGGTGGGGACAGTGGTGGGAACAGTGGGGACAGTGGGGAGAGTGGGACCGTGGTGGGGACAGTGGTGGGGACAGTGCGGACAGTGCGACAGTGGTGGGGGCACTGGTGGGGACAGTGGGGACAGTGGTGGGAAGAGCGGGGACTGGGACAGTGGTGAGGACAGTGGGGACAGCGGGACAGTGGTAGGGACGGTGGTGGTGGGGACAGTGGTGAGGGGACAGTGGGACAGTGGTGGGGACAGTGGGGACAGTGGGACAGTGGTGGGGACGGTAGTGGTGGGGACAGTGTTGAGGGCGGTGGTGAGGACGGTGGTGGGACAAGGGGACAGTTGTACAACGGGAGAGTGGTGGGGACGGTGGGGACAGTGGGACAGTGGTGGGGACAGTGGGGGCAATTGGACAGCACAGTGGGACAGCGGTGGGGACAGTGGGGACAGTGGGACAGTGGTGGGGGCACTGGTGGGGACAGTGGGACTGGTGGGGACAGTGGGACAGTGGTGGGGACAGGGGGACAGTGGGACGGTAGGGACGGTGGTGGTGGGAACAGTGGTGAGGGGACAGTGGGACAGTGGTGGGTGGGGACAGTGGGACAGTGGGGGGGACGGTGGTGGTGGGGACAGTGGTGTGGGGATAGTGGGGTCAGTGGTGGGGACAGTGGTGGGGTCAGTGGGGACAGTGGGACAGTGGTGGGGACGGTGGTGGTGGGGACAGTGGTGAGGGCGGTGGTGAGGACGGTGGTGGGACAACGGTGGGAACATTGGGGACAGTGGGACAGTGGTGGGGAAAGTGGGGACTGGGACAGTGGTGGGGACGGTGGTGGTGGGGACAGTGGTGTGGGGACAGTGGAACAGTGGTGGGGACAGTGGGACAGTGGGACAGTGGTGGGGACGGTAGTGGTGGGGACAGTGGTGAGGGCGGTGGTGAGGACGGTGGTGGGACAATGGGACGGTGGTACAGTGGGGACAGTGGTGGACACACTGGGGACAGTGGGACAGTGGTGGGAACAGCTGGACAGCTCAGTGGCACAGTGGTGGCGACAGTGGGGACAGAGGGAGAGTGGTGGGGACAGTGCGGACAGTGGGACAGTGGTGAGGACAGTGCGACAGTGGGGAAAGTGGGACCTTGGTGGGGACAGTGGTGGGGACAGTGGGGACATTGCGACAGCGGTGGGGGCACTGGTGGGGACAGTAGGGACAGTGGTAGGAACAGTGGAGACAGTTGGACAGTGGTAGGGACGGTTGTGGTGGGGACAGTGGTGAAGGCGGTGGTGAGTGAGGACGGTGGTTGGAACCCGGGAGTCGTTTGCCGGCGGCGAGTGGGGGGGGTTCGAGTTGGTAGTGATGCCTCCCAGTTCAGGGGGGCTCCGAACCGGTAGTGCCCCCCCCAGTTTTCCGGAGGGGGTGGGGTTTAGGGGGGGTTTTACCGGGGGAAGGGAGGGGGGGGGTTCGACCGGGGGGAGGAATTTCGGAGGGGGGAGTAATTTCAGGTTCCGGAGGAAGAGGGGGGGGGAATTTTCTACAGTCAAGCGGCGGTGGATCATGCCCTCTTGTATGTATGAATCAATGTATGTCTGTCTTTATGTATGGATGTATGTGTGCTAGTATGT